TAATACAGGTGTTACAAATGTCTGTAAATACAATTCCTTAGAGATAAAATCTTATGTGCTTACTAATCAATATTGTTTGTGGTGGTTTGTTAAAGGCAAACTTCTATTTTTATTACTGTGAAGATCTAGAGTCTAAAATACAAATATTGTTGCTAGAAGGGGGGAAACACAGAATTCTCTACTATAATAAACTTAATAAGATAAGTAGCTTTTAAATATTATATTTAATACTTTGCCATTTTTATGAGTAGCATTAATTTACTATCTCTAAGTAAATTGTGAGTCTTTATGTTTAACATACCAATCTGATTTTAGTGATGATTCATAAAACAGAGTGACAATCTTTCCTGAAAATATAGTATATTGGAAGGCCCAAATAAAATTCTAGGATTGCTTCCTTGGGACTAGCACCTAATAAATCAATAGTCAGGCTTTTGAGCATGCACTTTCTTCCACTTCCTTTTCTTTCTACAATGATTTTACCAATTTCTTGTGGCTTTCACTTTGAAGTTATGTTGCATTTATACAGTACAAGCTTTGCATCTGGTTTAGAGCCTGAAACCTAAGTTGGAAGATTAACTAAATTTAGCTATGAAAGAATACGCTCACACAGATGTAATATGAAATTATAGCCATATAACATTAGTGAAAATTAAATTTTCCCAGGAATAACTGATTATGCCAATTAATTTAATATATCTGAAATCCAATAATGAGAAATGTATATTTTGCCTGATGTTGTTAATCAGATCTTAAGAACTAAGGACATAAGACATATGACAAAAAGTAGAGAAGGGAATAGGGGATTAGACATTTTGGATCTAATTCTCACTAACAGAGATGAAATGATAGAAGGTGTTGAAGCCATAGGAACCTTGGGAGGAAGTGATCATGCAATATTGGAATTCAACATTATGGAAGCACAAGCAATAGAACACAGTAAAACTAGAGTCTTTGACTTCAATAGAGCTAATTTCAATAAACTTAGAGAGGGCTTGGGAAGGATTCCATGGATGAGAATCCTCAAGGGGAAAACTACTCAAGAAGCTTGGGGAATTTTGAAAAAATGAGATAATAAAAGCCTAGCACAATACCAACAAAGAGGAAAAATAACAGCTCTCAAAAGAAACCAGCATGGCTGCATAATGAACTCTGACAAATTGAAAGATAAAAAGGACAAGTATAGAAAGTGGAAAGAGGGGCACATAACTAAGTCAGAATATCAGCAAGTAGACCGAGCCTGCAAAGATGAAATGAGGAAAGCTAAGGCTCAAAATGAACTAAGGCTTGCGCCCAAAGTAAAAAATAACAAAACAAGCTTCTTTCAACATGTAAAAAACAAGAAAAAAGTGAAGGAAGTGATTGGTCCATTAGTGGGTAAAAGTGGCAAGAAGGTGACAAGCAACAGGGAGAAAGCAGAACTATTTAACTCGTTTTTTGCATCTGTCTTTACACAAAGGGAAAAAACAGACCAACCTATTAAAAATAGTGCCATAAAAAACAGAATAGAAACACAAGTTAAGATAGGCAAGAAAATGGTAAGTGAGCACCTCTCCAGCCTAGACGAGTTCAAATCGCCAGGACCAGATGGATTACACCCCAAGGTTCTCAAGGAACTGGCAGATGTGATCTCAGAACTACTGAACTGATCCTGGAGCACTGGGGAACTACCGGAGGACTAGAAAAGAGCTGATGTAGTTCCCATCTTCAAAAAAGGAAACAAAATGGACCCAGGAAATTACAGACCTATCAGCCTGACCTTAATACCTGGGAAGATCCTGGAAAAGATAACCAAACAACGAATCAGCGAACACCTAGAGGCAAACAAAGTCATTACTAAAAGCCAACATGGGTTTGTCAAAAACAGATCATGCCAGACAAATCTTATTGCATTATTTGACCAAGTGACAAAATTAGTGGATCAGAGGAATGCTGTGGATATAATTTACTTGGACTTCAGTAAGGCATTTGATAAAGTAGATGACAACCTACTACTTGACAAGATAGAAAAATGTGGGGTAGACAGCATCACTACCAGATGGATCCTTAGCTGGCTGACCGGCTGTACACAGCATGTGGTCCTCAATGCAACCGCATCTACATGGAACGAAGTATGTAGTGGGGTGCCTCAGGGCTCTGTTCTGGGCCCAGTGCTCTTCAACATCTTCATCAACGATTTGGACGAGGGGATAGATGGGGAACTCATCAAATTTGCAGACAACACCAAGCTGACAGGAATAGCCAACACTTCAGAAGACAGGCTTAAGATACAGAAGGATCTGGACAGACTTGAACACTGGGCACTATCTAACAAAATGAAATTCAATGGTGAAAAAAGCAAGGTTCTACATTTAGGCAAGAAAAACCAAATGTACACATATAGTATAGGGGGTAGTTTGCTCAATAGTAGTAACTGTGAGAGCGACCTTGGAATCCTAGTGGACAATAACTTAAATATGAGCCAGCAGTGTACTGCAGCTGCCAAAAAGCCCAACATAGTGCTAGGCTGCATTAACAGAGGGATAGAATCAAGATCACGTGAAGTGTTAATACCACTTTACAATGCCTTGGTAAGGCCACATTTGGAATACTGCATCCAGTTTTGGTCACCGCGATGTAAAAAAGATGTTGAGACTCTAGAAAGAGTACAGAGAAGAGCAACAAAGATGATTAGGGGACTGGAGGCTAAAACATATAAGGAACGGCTGCTGGAATTGGGTATGTCTAGTTCAGTGATGGCGAACCTTTTAGAGACCCAGTGCCCAAACTGCAACCCAAAACCCACTTATTTATCACCGGGTGCTGGGTGGGTGTGGCCGCACTGGTCATGGCAGACTGGGTGGGTGGGGCCAGTGTGGCAGGGGCCAGTTCCTCGCCATCTCTGGGGCATGGCACGCGTGCCCACTGAGAGGGCTCTGAGTGCTGCCTCTGACACGCGTGCCATAGGTTCGCCACCACTGGTCTAGTTTAACGAAGAGAAGGATGAGGGGGAAGATGATAGCAGTGTTCCAATATCTCAAGGGCTGCCACAAAGAAGAGGGAGTCAAACTATTTTCCAAAGTGCCTGAAGACAGGACAAGAAGTAACGGATGGAAACTAATCAACGAGAGAAGCAACCTAGAACTAAGGAGAAACTTTCTGACAGTTAGAACAATTAACCAATGGAACAACCTGCCTCCAGAAGCGGTGAATGCTCCAACACTGGAAGTTTTTAAAAAGAGACTGGACAGCCATTTGTCCGAAATGGTATAGGGTTTCCTGCCTGAGCAGGGGGTTGGACTAGATGACCTTCAAGGTCCCTTCCAACATTATTATTATTATTATTATTATTATTATTATTATTATTATTATTGTTGTTGTTGTTGTTGTTGTTGTTGTTGTTGTTCTTGTTGTTATTGTTATTGTTGTTATTATATGCTTGTAGAAGTGATTTTTCCCCCCAGGTATATTAGTTCTCATAATACATGGGATGCATATTACCAAGTTCTCCTACGATCTTGTCTTTTATTGAAGTTGGAAAGTACTTGAAAAGGATTTGTAATTAAGGTGCATCCAGTAAGAAAACAATGATTTGTGAAACATTTCTGCCACACTATCTGAATCTGTGTTTCTCTAATGTAACTAGCCAATTTCTTCCAAATTTCTCCTACCCACTCCTTTTGTGAAGTACTAATTTTATACTAGTAACTGAAAGAAAATACAGGCATTCTTCTTTTCTTGTTTTTTTTCCCCAAGTGATCTGTTCAGTTTTTTCCTTTTTGTAAGGGTTGAAGCTGGCAAGGTAGAATCTCTGCTTCTCCTGCTTGAGGAAGCTGTTTTGTTAAACAGATGTGAAGAAACTTCAAGGTGGGAAAGGAGCAACTAACAGCCATTGATTCAGAAGGTGGGAGGAAAGGGTCCAGCGTTTAAACCTGGCAAATAACTTTTACATGGAGGGCAGGATGCTGGAATACTGTTAGAGATGGACCAGTTCTTCCTTATATATAGTCTTCTAATTATTGCAGTAAATTTACTTCTTGTGTCTGTGTGGAAATGCAGAGATAGCATAGCTGCCATATCCGATATGAAATCCTGTCAGTCCTCTCTGTCAAAGCTTAAACTGTACATGTTCAAGCAGGAACTTTTCTTCATTATAACATTAATCTTTTCAGTGCATTTTACCTTAATGTCACTAGAAAACTATTTTATTCTGTGTGAATTTTAGTACAACATAGCTGAAAATAAGGGAAAGGTGGCAATCCTATTTCTTATTTTGTCATAGTGGCATTGAACACTTGGTAGTTATAACTGCTTCTTTTATTCTAATATTTTTCTTCACTTTATAATAATTTTCAAACTAGTATATGCCACTCATGTAATTAGAAATGTGTCACTGAGCAGCATGTCAAACCCAACAGGAAGAAATAGGTGTATAATTTCTGTAAAGCTACAGGTCTTTTCTTTTTAATTGGCAGGAAATTTTGAACCTTGTTGTTATTGTAAAGGGTTAACTCTGTCCAATTTTCTGCATATAACAAATGAAAAGTTCCAGCTTTTGAAAACATTTGCTCATAAAATGCATATGCTGTCAACTTAGTTCTCTTTCCTCTGCTTGCATTTTAATTGAAACAACATTTGTATTTTTGAGCCAGGATCTGTCAGAAGTCCCTATGACTAGTCTGTAGTACAAGTAGCAGCAGACGTGGCTTACCCATATGGTACGGTGCTTCTTGTAAAATCCATATGGCCTTGTTGAAGGGAATCCCAGCAGGGATGTGAAGGGTGTTAATACCCTTCAGGCCAGGCCTTTCCCTCCTGGGGTTTCTATGGTATTGTCTTTGCAATCTGCCAAAGCACAAACTTAATTCCTTTTTAATAATCAATTATTTTAATCCAGGAACATGCAGCATAGTTTCCTCCTCCTATCAAATATTGCTTGATTTTTGTGTGGGGAAAAAAAATTACAGGCGTATTCAGGTAATGGTTAAATACATATAACATTTTTTTTTCTGCTTTTTCAGGCAATCCTCCAGAGTATACCTAAATTCTGCTTTCCTTTTGACATTACAAGGTATGTCTTATCATGGCTTTTCAATAAGTGAGATTGATGCACTGAAAATTTGCACTGCAAAATACTGATTTTCATAGGAAAGTAGTGAATGGATTGAATCGCTGTATTAAAAAAGAACTAAAGTGTTTTCTGAATTTAAATTTTAGTTTGTATCTTTGGCCGTAGGCAGTATGATCTTAGTATGCTTTTAGAGCTTTTAATAGATAACCATAAATCTTTAGCATGCATTTCTTATTACCGTAATATAAAATTGATAAGACATTGTTTATAACTGTACATTTACTTCCTTCCAGCCCTCAAAACAAGTATACATAAGAAGTTCCGATTGAAATATCTCTTAAAGATTGTACAAATGTGTTCTGAGGATTGTACTTTAAATTTAAAATGGACTTATCATGTGTTGTATATGTAGGTCTGCAATATTTATTCACATTTAATGCTTTGGTAGAGCAAGCATGTGTTTCAGCTTATTAAGCAGTAGATTTTAAACGAAAATCATTCATGATTTTTAATACTTTTTTTAAAAAAATGTGGATGACAGATGCCATTAGAAAAGGCATTGCTCCTCATTCTGTCATAAGAGGAATGCTTCTTCTGACAATGGTGTTATGATACCAGCTTAGTAGAATTATTGTTTCATGTGGAACTTCTGTGCAGGCTTAATGAAACGCTTAATTATAAGTTAGCTGATTAGTCATTGGAGATTTCTTTAACCAGTAGAATTCAATGGACAGAATTCTTTAGAATTTTTAAATCCAGTTGGAGGGCACATGTCAAGAAGAACAACTAAAAAAATTCCAAGCACACCTACTGAACGTCATGGCCAGACAAAGATTTGACTCTGAAAATTTGTCATATACAAAAATTCTGTCAATTGTAGGACCTTGTTCTATTCCATATAATTGAATTTAATTATGGATATTTTCCCTGCATAAGATTTTTTCATAACTCAAGAAACATTTGGGGCATTGTTTAAAATGATTCGAGTTAGCCAGTTGTTGTTATGAATTACTTGTTTTTTGTTATCTTCCAAACACTAATTGTTCTGTGTCTTTAATACAGTATTTTGAAATGAGTGCAAGTTGAAAACCCAAATAAGCAAGTGTAATTAAAATTAACTAGGAATTGATATGGGCTTTTAAATCTATTGAAAATTAAACTAGCAAGTATCATTATATTAAGGTTGGTACATGAACAATTCGGAAATGAGAGAAAGAAGGGAAAAGATAATTTGGTCTAGAAAACAGGAGATTGTGAGTTCAAGTCCCACTTTAGCCTTAAAAGCCATGGGTGACATTGGGCCAGGCAATTTTGTTTTTTTTTGCCAACTCACCTCACAGAGTTGTTGTGGGGAAATAGGAGGGGAAAGGTGTGTTGGATATGTTTGCTGCCTATTTGTAAAAATAATAAAGGCAGGAAAGAAACACACAAACAATCACAGAACTCCATCATACCAGTGCTGAGAAAATGAATAAAACAAATGGAGAACAATGAGACTGTAATTTCAAAATCAATCTTTTTCTAACTCTATAAAGTAAGTTTCATCACCTCAGAACTATTCTAATGGGAAAATATAGTAGATTTAAAACTTTTTAAATACATGTGTTTGAGCATGAAGCCTGCCAGTGTTTCTTCTAATAGAAGTATTATTTGTTTTTCATTATATACACACTGGATCTCTTTGTTGTTTTTGCTGAAAGGGTTGCTCGTTTAGTGTTTATCCAAAAATTGGAAATGTTCCCTGTTCTTCAGATCTGCACATATGTGTTATGCAGTCTATCTTACCCAATGAGTTTAGAGGGGCTACTTAAAAGTTGAAAAGAAAGTAAAAATGCATATAACTTAATATAGTTAAGATAGTGTTCTTGGTAAAGCATTAAAACCTATATATTATTAAATTTATAACTATGAATGAAGAAAAGAAAAGAGCTGAGGTGGCGCAGCAGTTAGAGTGCAGTACTGCAGGCCACTTTAGCTGACTGTGTTCAGCAGGTCAGCGGTTCAAATCTCACCGGCTCAAGGTTGACTCAGCCTTCCATCCTTCAGGGGTAGGTAAAATGAGGACCCAGATTGTTGGGGGCAATGTAAATATATATATACATTGCTTACTGGTGTACACCGCTTAGAGAGTGCTTGCACTTAAAGCGGTATATAAGTCTCATAAATAAATAAATAAATAAATAAATAAATAAATAAATAAATAAAAGTAGGAACAGTGAAGAAGTTAAAGCTTTCTTAGTGCCATCCAATGGCTAGGAATTAATGAAATATCAGTGCAATTACTTGAATTGATAGAGTAAGATAATCCAGCTGTAGATATTTGTATGAGGATAAATGCAAAACAAGATTTTTAAAGAAATCTGGAAAGTATATTGGCAAGTACAGGCATTATCTGTGTTAATCAACCACATTGTTCTTTGAACACTAAAAATTAGTAATTATATTATAAAACAGTTGGTCCAGGATGTTTTCAATTATACACTATGCATATGTTATGAATAAAATGGCAATATGTGAGTGGGCACTTTTAAGGCCTATGTATAGATTTATTTGTTTGTTTATTTATTTCTATCCCACCTTTATTATTTTTACAAGTAGCTCAAGGCAATAGATATATCTAATACACCTTCCTCCTCCTATTTCCCCCCCCCCAATGACAACCCTGTGAGATGGATTCGGTTGAAAGAGAATGATTGGCCCAAGATCACCCAGCCATTTTAAAAGCTTCATTTGAGCATTTGCTGATGGAATGGTAACCAGCAATTAAATATGTAATTCCTGAACTGTCATATGGGCAGCAAATAAATGTGATAAATAAATAAAATTAAACTATATTATGTTTTGGAGAAGTTTTCATTTATGGGGTTCTTGGTGCATTACTAATTTGTTAATGAGACATGTGCAAGAAAACAACTAAGCTCAGCGAGCACCAAGGACCACACACTTTAACTGTGAACTACAAATAATTCTCTTCTGTGGGTTTTTATTTATTAAATTAGTGGAGGAATGTTTATTCTATTGCTTAGTTAGTGAGTAATAATAACCAAAATAATTTGTTCCTAGCAATTCCATTACGTTTTGTCATCTTTCAGCAAGAAAAAGCATCTCAAAGCCAATATTTTTGAAAATATTTAAGCAAATGACAGATAAAAAAACTAAATATATGAAAACTCATTTTTAATAGTATCAACTAATTTCATTCTCAGTTAATTTCATTTACATTTATTAGACAAATATGATTTGGCATTTATCTATAAATACTGACAATCACATTTAATTCATTAATATTCACTGAATTTGAGACACTACTAGTAGGACTTATAATTTTCATCCTAGTTGATCAAATAATAATTTTATAACATTTACTTTCTTTATTGGAGATATGTTTATGATATTTTATGATATTTTTATGATATTTTATGATATTTTCATTATCTGAAGCCATGGAAAAGAATTTTCAATGCATTTCATCATAACCTCAACTTCTTTCTTATCGTCAGCCAATCTATAGAATGAGTTCACTTCTTTGATGTCATGGTAAAACTATACTATGGACACATGAAGGAAACTTGCAAATCACCATGCATCCTTTGTGCTTTTATCCAATGTACCACGAAATGTAGCATTTATAGCCAGATTTTAGACTTTAACTACATTTGTTTTGATCCATCGCTTAAAATGCTCAAGTGATAAAATAAATCAGGCATTCAGGAGGCTAATGAGATCAATAGACAAATAGAGCCCACCCCCCTTACTCCATCTCAAAGTTATATCCTATATCAATGTAGCTACTCCATTACATTTAATGAAATGAGCAGTAGATCATGGAAGATTATGCCTTTTAATTTGTTAGTTTGAAAAGGTCTTACCAGACTTCTTTTCCAATTTTTTATTCTCTTAGACTGACATGGCTCTCTTCCTATAATTTGGAGTAAGTAAGGGTAAGAAGCTCATAGCTTTTTTGTATAGCTTCAAAACAATTTGGTAATGTCTAACTATTCTTGGTCTGTATTATTGAGAAACACAATTTAAGGTTAAAGATTCATAATCTTTCATAATGTCATATTATACACTGGTAAATATTAGAAAACATGAAAATTTTTGGTATAAATTGTGGCAGTTTCTAGAATCCAGACTCAGCAAAGCCCTGGCAATTTAAATTGATCCATGTAGAGCATAGCTTCAGAATTAATAATAATAACATGCCAGCTATATGTTTGCTCATCTAATATGTTTTACTTATGATATATAAATACTAAATATTAAAGGTAGGCTATATTATCTTTCAGTGAAAATATGAAAGTTCAACATATAAATTAAATTGTAGAAAATAGAATAATAATATATAGAAGTGTCCTTTTTGGATCACGTACAATTTCAATTTAACAAAACACAAAGGGATGTTTATCCAAAAAAATCCTCAGTTCATTGAGATTGGCTTTTTTTGAATATGGCAGTTTCATTTAACACTTGAAACGAACGAAATCCTTAGATATTTTATTTTATAAAATTAATATCAGTCAATGAATATTTCTAATCAATGAATTTTATAATTTAATTATATATTTTGTTATGCTTCCTTTTTTCTCTTCCCAAATAACAACTTTATGGAGTTACTTTGTCTAATTGCATTTGGTTCTGTGTGAAAAAAGTCCCTATTTATTTCATATCATTTCTAATTTCGTAGCTTTTTGTCTTTATCTTAGTTGTACTTTTAAACTATGAACATTTGTTTTTTTAAACTGGAAAATATGCTATATATGCTAATGAAAACAGTATCAAAGACATATAAGCAGTTCATAACTTTAGTGTAAATCTTTCTGTCACATGAATGGCTACACATTCCTGAACAATTACACAGACATATATAAATCTACAGGAAAATGATTTTTTCCTGTAGAAGGGCAAACAACTCATATTTGATGTTGATAACTATCTATATAAGAAGAAGTAATTCTTAATCTGTCCATCAAGAAAACTTTAAATTATGTCTTGATAATAAATGCAGAAATATAAATACTCCCTATCTATTTCATTGTCAGATGAGTGTACCCTGTTGTTTAAATATGTATTTAAAATGTTGCCATCTATAATAGTGACCTTGAAAAAGTCCTTTGTAGTCAACAAGATTGATGAATATTTATATATGTTCTTCATCAATCAATGATTTATTATTTTAGCTATTAAGATCATTTTTAAAACAAACATATAAACAAAAAATGAGAGAGAAATATACTAAAATATTAGGTTTTATTAGAAAACAGCCTGGAGCACTATTTACTTGTGTAAAAAGTTACATTTCCTTTTAATGATTAGTGTCAGCTACTTTTAAAACCTAAATTCCCTCTTACTGTTTGGTTTATAATTCGGGTATCGGAATCAGTTCACAGGAGCATAATCTCCATTTTAAGGTCTTCTGGTCTAAGTAAAAATGGAACATCTTTAATTCTTTATTGCCTGTTACAAATTATATTTTAATATTAATATTACTAACAACATTTTCTTTCACTAAAGTTCTTCTGTCTAAGAAATTTCCTTCTATTCTTTCAAGTACAAACATTCCACATCATTAAAAAAAGTTGTACAGGTAGTCCTTGTTTAGCAATCTCAGTTGTGTTTGGCAACTAGGTCAGGGGTAGGCAACCTTGGCTCTTTTATGACTCATGGACTTCAACTCCCAGAATTCCTGAGTCAGCTATAATTGAAGTCCATGAGTCATAAAAGAGCCGAGGTTGCCTACCCCTGAACTAGGTCATTAAGTGAAACAGTTGCTAGTGAAACCCCAATTATGCTTATGATTTTACTTCAGCTTTCGTTTGGTATACAGATCTATAAGGGTCATAAATGCAGATTGATCATCACTTTGTAATTGCAAATGGTTGCTGTATGAGGTAGTTGTTAAGTGAAGACCACTGTACTACATCTATGTCTCTTCACTCAGAGCTTTTCATATTATTTTCTATATTATTTAGATTTGATTCAAAATGTTTTTTTTATTTTATTCATCTGCTATTATATAATAACAATTAATCTAATAGTATTAACATTAATTTTACTTTTTAGTGTTTAAGAGAGTGCTTTCTAACCCAGTTTTTCCCCCCCAGGGTAACGCAAGTTGGACAGCATTTTACTTTTGTGCTTACTGACATTGAAAGCAAGCAAAGATTTGGATTTTGTCGTTTAACATCAGGAGGCAAAGTGTGCCTGTGCATTCTAAGGTAAGCTGCTATCTATAAAAACAAATGCCTGGCTACTTTCTTTGACAGTTACTGGTAATTATTGGTTTAAAATTGTAGATTCCATGATCACTGGAAAGCCTTGATGGGTATGGATGTATGGTTGTATGCTGCCATCACAATAAGCATAATTGACATTAAAGACTATTTTTTTTCTATATGAGGGAAATTGTTTTAATGAGATATTTTACAAATGCTGCATAGTTTTCCTGGCTTGGCAGGTTATGTAAATGGTTGTATAACTTTTTTTTAAAGAGAAAAATTGACACAGCAGCTGCAAATGAATTTGCCTTATGATAATGAAGTGAAGGCCTAGTGCTAATTAATAGAAATTCATCTTCTAACTGACCCAGAGGAAAAGCAAAGTTGCAACATAACAAGGTGTATATTAATGTATGTGTGAATTTTCATCCTAACCTTATAACAAGGCTTTTTGCATTATACTTTTGCTTTTGTACTTGCCTTGATTCAAGATAAATTTAACATACATTATGATGTATACCTTTGGTTAATAAGTGAAAAGTAGCAGAGGATGGAGGTCATAGGATGATATCTTTACAGAATACCAGAAAATATTAAGTATTGGACTGGGATTATGATTAATATTAATTAATTAAACTTATGTGCCAGCCAACTCTCAATGATTTGGGGTGGCTCACAATAGTCAAAGAAACTATAATTAAAATCAAAACATATAAAGGTAAAAGATGGTATGTGCGAAAGCATTCTGGAGCTCCATGTAGAGCCTAATGCAGATGATTCTTGGAAGATTTGATCCAGACATAAAGTGGAATATAGGTAGTTCTTGACTTATGACCATTTGTTTAATGGTGGTTCAAAATCACAGTGACTTCAGAAAAAGTGATTTATGACCTGTCCCTGCATTGATCACTTGACTGTAGTTTGGGTGCTTGGCAACTGGGTTGCCTTTACAATCAGTTTTAATGTCCTCTTCCCAGCCGGTTTCTTACAAAAAGTCCATTGGGGAATGGATTTGCTTAATGACCATGTGATTTGCATAACTACCATGGTAAAAAAGGTTGCAAAATCTAGTCCTGTCACCCGATGACTCATTTCATAACTGCATCAATTTATAACAGAAATTTGGGTCTCTGTTGTAGTAATTAGTCATGGACTACATGTAGGCTTAGTGGGCTTCTTTATGGAAAAGCAGGCCATCTGAATGCAATATGTGAATATTTAAGCTTGAAAACAGATTATGTATAAAGTGTTGAATTGGACTGATCACACCGAGACCAAAGTGGATGGATTTTTGCCTTCTGCTTTTCTTAATGCCATTGTTTTAGTATTTCATCAACATGTAAAACTGTAGTAATATTTAGATATCAAGGTTTATGCATTTTATTCAACAAAAATATAATTTTTTCCATAGTTGGCATGTGGATGTTATTTCTTAATAGGCTTCTGCACATGTTATTGGCTACAATAAAACCTAATTAAGTGCTAAAATGATATTATTCTACTATGAATAATATTGTATTCATTGTACGAATGCGGATATTCCTCTCCTTTTCTGACTCTTTTCTGTTTAGGAGTAGATTGGCTTTTCATGAAGCAGGATCTAACCAACTTTAATTTTAATTTTCAATCTTTATACTGCAATTTTAAATCTGTTCTTAGATCAGAATGTCAATTAATGTTCCTATGGATAAAAATTGTTAATGGCAAAAGTTTGAGATTTAATTTACTTTTATGAGATGAACAGCTGAAAAAATGCTCATGTAATTCCTGAGGCGGATTTGCTATTATGGAAAGTGCCCCAGAAATTCCTTTTTAGTTCTGGTTGGGTATTTTTTTTTCCTGATAAAGTGTCCTTTTTAAATAAGGGATATATGTGTAATCCATGTAATACTTCAGGAAGCCAATATCTGACAGGGTTATTTTCATCTACCCTGAATATTAATTCAATTGACAACTTTTTATTCAGCTAATTGATTTTTTACTTGACCTAGTTTGTTTCCTTGTCTATGAACAAATAATACTTTGCAAGGTTCCTGGGCCCCCCGCCCAATTTATCCAGAGATTAACACTAAGGTTATTATTGGAACAATAATTTGATTGTGGAAGTTTTTCCTTTTATATTTGGAACTGAAAATCTATTAGTATTGTGTAGAAATATTTCCTATGCAAACTACAAGCAAAGCTGCTTCCAACACTAATCAGCCAGAGCTTAAGAAGGTGCAGGTAGTTTTATTGTCATGTTAATTTAGTGTCTGTTGCATTCAGGATTCTGCATTGTTTTATATGTTATATATATTTATATATTAAAATTGTAAGAAAATATGCATTTATTCCTTCATGCAAGTTTTTATAACATATAAAATAACTTTGCTCTACATTTGATGTGATTTTGCTTCCCTTGTATTTTCTCCTCATAAATACATGTTTGCAAGAAAATTTCTATAAATATTAACATTTTTGAATGCTGGTTTCTGAGCAAATAATATCACAGATTCCGTGTGTGTAGAAGCTGAAGGGTACCTGTGAGTCAGTTTACATAGAAACCCAGAAAGTATGAATTAATTTAAGTAGACCAAATTATCTTATTTGAATCTGGATTAAGTGTTATTAATCTTAATTGCAATAAATCCCTTTTAAAATGGATTTGTTAAAATTAATCATTATTAAAATTAGTCATGATTAATCTTCATTTAACAAAATTGCTGTTCAAATATGAAACAGAAGTAGTCTTATGTGAACACAATGGAAAGGAAGATAGACTTGCTATTGTGATGAGAAAGTTCAATTTGACATTTTATATATATAAAGTGAACTTTAAAACTAGGAATACATTTTTTGTTTTGCATTTTTATTATTTTTAAGCTGTCCATTTCAAGTACATCAGATCATATGATGTTACTATTAAAATACTTTTTAAAAATTCAGCATGCAGAAATGATTGTTTAATCTCTTCAAATTGGTCTGTCTTAGCTACTATGTAGATAGATTCTCTTCAAGGAGATATGTATTCACCTTGACCATTTGGTTTCCAATATAATTATTCCAAGTTTACTACTGGCCATTTTTCCTTTAGTTTTTCCTAACATTATGAAGTTCTTAAGGGATCTTTGCATTTGAGCCTGTTCACTCATGCCACGAGTGAAAATCTTGGATTGATTTGTTCTCTTCTTCTTTTTCCTGGTTATCCAGAGATTTGAAATGTCAATATTCTTTCTCTTCTGGTTCTCAAAAATCCAACCATTTTTCAGTCATTTTAAATTTTGTGGGTATAGATACATTACAGCAGGACTTTTCAACCTTTTCACAGATTGTACTACTTTTACGACATGACAATATTTGAGTACCACCAGTGCTTAGCAAGGTATTAAAAACTTGATAACTTAAAAAAGGGGGGGTGGATTTTGGGTTTTACTGATTAAATTGATTTGTTATAGAAACGGCTAGTTTACACTATTATGGAAAAGTAAAAAGTTGAGGTTTGATGTTAATGCTTCATTCTACTGCAACAGAGGAAGACGGAAGTCAATGCCTTTTCTTTTCTTTTTCTCTTCTCCCCTCATTCTCCCCATTTTTCCTCCCCATTGTGTCCTACTATTTGCTTTTGTATTTTTGTATTTTATTCTATAATCTAATAAAATGTTATAAACCGTAAAAAAAGGAAAAAAGTACCAGTTTTAATTTTTTCAGTGGCAGTTCCTTTGCTGAATCACTTTCTGTTTGCACTGACAAATGTATGATGAATTTTTCCATATTTATTAATATGCACCACTGCCTTGGTGGTCAGCTGGCTGGTTGGCCCTTCTTCCTCTCTCCCTCTCCCCTCTCTTTTTCCTCCCTGCCTGCTGAGCTCTCTTTCCACCGTTTCGTCTCCCCTATCTATTTTTCCTCCCTGTCTGCTGGGCTCTGCTTCCAGTTTCTTCTCCCCTGTCTCTTCTTCATCCCTGCCTGCGGGACTCTCCTTCCAGTTTCTTCTCTGTCCCCTTCTCTTTCCCTGTTGTCTTTTTTCCCCTCTCCCACCCAAACCACCTCTTTTTATATATCCTCTCCTTTCTCCCCCTCCTCCTTTTTTCTCTTCCGTGCACCTCCAGCTGATTCCTCTCCTCAAGGCTGTCCTTCTCCATCTCTCTTTCTCCACCCCCTTCTCTTTACCCCGCTGCCTTTTTCCCCTTCTCCCTTTCCTGCCAAAACCACCTTCTTTTATATACTCTCCTCTCTCCCCCTGTCCTTCTTTTCCCTTTGGTCCACCTTCAGCTATGCACTGCTTCCGGAAGCGCCAATCAGCTGGAGCCCTGTGCCGATCCGGGGCTTCTGCTGAGCCCCAACAGCCCTGCAGCTCCAGCTATCTCTCCCTCAGGCTTGTGCAGTGCTATCACCACTTCATCTCATTCCCCTCCCCTGCTGCACTTGTCTAGGATGGTCGCGTACCACCTGCCAAGTGCCAAAGTACCACTGGTTGAAAACATCTGAACATCCTTTCCAAAACTTTACTGCTGGACTCTTTACTGTTTCCTAAAAGACAGAAGATCTATGTGTTTGTTGTTAATATTAAACTAGTTTATTCCTAATATTTCATCATATCCCCATTTTTATTACTGTGTGTTTGATTTCATTAGCAGAGTATGCAGATTATTCACATATTGACCTGTCAGATTAGTGACATACACAGTTACTAATCTTTTTTTCCTCAAATTTTAAATCCGTGCTCGTATTATTCCAGTCCAGCTTCACTCAATATATATTCAACACATATGTAATAGTATATTACATATATAGTATATGTTCAATATTTATTTATATCTCTGTAAATGAAGCAAAAGTATAGTTTTGTCTGTTTTTCTTCTCTTGACCTGGAGCCAGTCTGTTTCACCTTGTTGAATCAGGACTTTATGTTCTGTATAGATTTCACATAAGGACAATGAGATTTTCTGGGGTTTCTTCCCCCCCTCCCCCAGCCCCGAGGAGATATTAATATCGTCAAAACACTCAAAGGCCTATGATTG